TTAGCCCTCCACACAGAATATTTTAGTCTTTTAAAGAAAGGTTGGAGCTGATGATCCCTGAGATCCCTTCCCACCTGGTATTCTATGGAAGTGCCTAAAATAATATATTCATAGTCTGAGACTGGTGTTAGTATTTTTAATAATTGCAAAGCTGAGGCTATGGAAGAGAACTGACACAGGTCTGACAGGAGCAACTGTCTCCAAGGCACATTTTTGGTCCATCCTAAGATTCTTCTGATGTGTTTTTCCAATTTGGTCTATGCAGACTGGTAATAAATATATAATAAAAATCTACTCTTTCCTATGTATTGGGAACAAACCTAACAGAAAATGCCAAGAGGGAAAAGGGAAATATGAGAAAGTCGTAGCAGAATGAGGAAGGGAATATAGCAAATTTAAGAATGGATTTTTTTGTTCCTGTTTATATTCATTGCTATTATCTCATTTAGGGTTTGTGGTTTTTTTTAGTTTTTTTTTTGTTTGTTTGTTTGTTTTTTAAATAGTATACATACATTAGAGTATATATTGGTTATATATGTGGTACTTCCAGAGCAGTTAGCTGCCCAGCACCAGTCAGTCACTCCTGTCTAGCTACAGCCACATTAAGCAACAGGCCCAGCCATTTACTGTCATCATCAGTGTCAGTATCCTAGGAGATCTCCTGATCTTGCATAATTACATCCTGATAAATGGGTACTTTCTGCTCATAGCAAAAACATTTTCAAAATTAATGTAATTGAGAGATAGCTGCTGTTGATGTACCTGTCTTCAAATCATTAGGAATATCATACAAAAGCATTTTACTTAGGGTCTTTAGCTAACACCCATCTGTATTTTAAAGTAATCACATTCACAGACAAAATGATATTGTTGTTACAGAATCAAATTTCATAGCCTCTCTCAGGAACTTAAGGATTAAAAATGAAGCATTGTTATCCCAATAAATTCATAGGTAAGATTCATTCCAAGTAAACAGGATTGAAATAAACACTTGGCTACCCCTAATGTAGTGCTATTTTGAGGCAGAAACAGTCTGTTTACTCCAAACATTGTTCTAGATCCATGGGACTAACTTAGAGCTGGCACTGTGTAAATACATTAACAGTATATAAACTGAATTATGAGATTTCTAGGTTGATAATATTAGTTTTTTGGTTAAGAGCAACAACACATAAAATACCTGTACATTATTTCAACTGTAAATCTATTTGATGCAGCCTTTGTATGGAATGAAATGAGATCTAAGGATAAAAATCAAAAAAAGAAGCATGAAAACCAAATAGTAGAAATTAATGTTATTATAACTGTAAGTACACAGGTATTCAGTGTTAAAAAGATTCTTCATTCCAAACCTTTGTTTTTTTCCAAGTATTTATCATATCTCATATTCACATTTAGTGCCTGGACTGGTGAAGGAAGAGTGGGTGTATAAATGATAGGATGGAGTGTGGGACACCCATGTTCAGCAATGTTGATGGCTGGAAAAGGGAGCCCCAAATACCAGCATCATCCTCTTTCCCACTGTCAGGAGATCCACCTTTCCTTTGGAACACACTCTTTCAAGCCTCAATATCATGCAAAGAGGTTCCCTTCTGCATGTTAGGCATAAATAATTCAACTTCTAGGTACAAATATGGTCAAAAAAGTGTGCTGGAAGATACTCAAACTCACTTTGTGGATTTGCAAATGTGGTTCCCGTCACAATCAGGAGAGACTGGGCATTTTAGATGCCAAAATGCTTAAGTAACTTTCAGAAACCTGCTGTCAAAATGGCTGGAGAAAGAAAGTTGAAAATTGGTGTGTTATGACACTTGCTTTAGCAGAGGTGCCCACGCTCTTCCCACAGCAAAATGACTTTAATTTGCCCAACCCCGGAGCCCTTGAAAATGACACTCTGAGCATTTGCTGTAATGATTTCTCACTAAATTAGAAAAATGCCCAACTAAGGAGGGATTATCTCTGCATGTGGATGTGGCATAATGACTGTCAAGTGCACTGAGAGCCCCACTGGGCTTTGCAAGGTACACAGGGTCTGCAGCAGAGGCCAGTGTGTATCGAAGAATATTAATACTGTCTTGTTGGGGGCATCCATTGTGACACTCTACTGCTGTTCAGACAAAATTATACCATATGGGGGAATTCTCTTTGCCACTTTACATATATGAGGTATCTTTTAGGTCTGAGGATTAGTCTCATATTTTCTGGCTGACAGACCCTGTCCACAAAGGATACATGCACATGTGTGCACACACCCTCTGTAATACATGCACCCCCTGGGACAGCATCACTGCAAGATTCTTCCTTGCAGCCCACAGCCACTGTGCCTGCAGCGAGGATGCACTAGGGAATTTATCTTCTAGCTGCTCCCAGAAGCAGCCTAGCAGCTTCAGCCACTCAGGACAAAATGTGTTTGTTCCCCAGATGCCTACATGTTGCTGCCCAGGTTTTGAAGCAGGTAAGGAGCAAGCTGGGTGGGCAGTGCCACTGCCTCATCATCCCTATTGCAAAGAGGGAAAACTGTCCCTGGATGCCTCCGGTCAGCCCCAAAACAGGAGCAGGAGGAGCACATTTTTGTTTATATCATGAAGGACAGAAGAAATGGTGGGAATACTCAAGCAGACAAGGGTGTCAAGAGTTCCTGCACAACTGCCACAATGACACTTCAATAGCAGCACTCGAATGCCCAGTGCTACTGTTCCTCACACCCCAGTGCCAGTTGCTGCTCAACAGGGACAGGGAGCACACATACTCACTTCTGTGGATACTCATTGACTTAAGTAGCAGTGCCCTGTTAAACAGGATGCCAGACTCCTTGCTAAACGCACTTTGAGCTGTTTCTGTGTTTTGCAATGGCTTTTCAAAACAAGTCTAGTAAATGTGGGCAGGAAGGGAGGTGAGGGATGGACAACCTGCAGGGCCCTGCTGAGCCCATTAGGGTCCCCTGAAGAGTCTTTCTTGTTGGAACTGGACCACTGGGGAAGGAAGGACACACAGGAAACATCACAAGGCTCAAGCACCTAGGTGAGACTGACTGACTCCTGTAGCAAGGTCAGATTTTGGTCTCTCACCTGCCAAGTTCATCCTCAACAGCCATGGGAAAAGGAACCAGGAAGATGCTGCCCACAGAGTGTCCTAAACACTAGCTTGCCCAGCCATGCTGGGTGATGTGGGAAGACACTGAAGGAGGAAGCGGGGAGGGTGAAGCCAGAGGTCTAAGTATCACAGGAGGCAGTGGGTGAAGGCAGGCCACCAAGATGAGCAGCCCAAATGTTTTATCCATGTGCCCCCATCTTGATAAGGCAGCATCTGCCTGGTGTCACCAAGCCATTGTGTTTTCCAGACAGGGAACACAGCTCAGGACACTCACAGGAGCATATGGGTACTGCCTTGTGCAGGTCCTGCACTGCCATGTCTCCAGCCCTCTCACCCTCCCCACCGTCCTGGGGTGCCCAGAGAGACCCATGGTGCACCGGAGTCTGCAGGGTCCTGCTTTCCACTTCCCCGTGGGATCGAGATGTAGAAGATTGCAGATGTCCTGGCCCCACGGCAACACGAAATGCTGAAGGGACCTGGGAAGGACAGAGAATGACATGTTTGATTCACGGCCAGGACTTGAGGCTGTCCCGGCAAATAGCAATTTTACCAGCTGTGCTGCATCCTCTGTGATCGGGATCCCAAACCCACAGCTCCCCACACCGAGCTTAGCCCGTGTGCAGAGATGAGTGGACCTTCTCCAAAGCGATTTCGCGGGAGGGATGACATCCCTGTTCCTGGCTCTTCCCGGTAGCCTCGGTTATTTCGCAGCTGTTCCGGCATGAAAAGCCGGTCCCGCCCCGGTGCGGGTAGGAACGGATGGTACCCCAGGGATCCAAGCACATTCCCCAGGCTGCAGGGCACAAAACCCGCTGGGCAGGCGGGACAGCTCTGCGGGCCCCGGGGAGACCCGAGGCGTGGGCTCCCGAAGTAGGGACGGCTGCTGCAGGCCACCGGTGAGCGAGTCCCCGGGAGGCCGAGGGTCGCTGCACAAAGTGCGTAAGCGTGGCTTGAACGCGGGGTCCCGGCTGTTCCGCACCCTTGGGTGGCAAATGCGGGTCCGGCACAGCAGTCACGCTCCCCCGTTTGGCACCCCGGGGACTGCGGGACACTCTGGCTGCTTTTTTGCCGGGGATCACGGCCGGGCAAGTGTGAGAAGCAGCGCGTAAAAACGGGCGCTCCGCTTCCCCGACGGAAAAGCTCTGCGGGGAGCTGCGAGGCTGGAGCGGGGCTGCCGGAACTCTGTGGCCGTGCAGGTGGAAGCCCAGCAGGGGCGGCCCCGTCACCGGCGGGTAGGCGGAAGGCAGAGCCCGTCCTTTCAGGGTAGTGGCAACGGGCAACAGGAAAGAGAAGCGGAGCCAGGGAGTTGCCAGCCGGAGCTTCAGCTACAGCGTACGCATAGATGTATGCATGTGATGCATCTCTCTCCGGCAGATGTTCGAATGGGATAGGAAGGGAAAGGTGTTGAGCCGAGGCGGTCACCAGCCCCATATCTAGCATTGCGGGGCGGACCTGGAGAGCCCACGGGAAAGGGACAGGGGTCCTCCATGTCCCATACCTTTAGCACGGACGGGAGAAAGGAGCCACCCGCGCTCGCCCTGGCGGGCTAGTCCCGGTGCCGAGCTACGGCGGAGAAGAAGGAATGGAGAGCGATGGTACACCCAGCGCCCGCCCGCGGACACCGAGCGCCTGCTTTCTACGTGAACGGAAGGAAATAAACCACCAACGAGATTTTATTGTTGTTATTTATCATCATAATTATTATCATCACCATCGTCGTTTGTCTGCACATAAATAAATAAATAAATATCTCCCGGGGTGGAGGGAGCGGGACGGAACGATACAAACCACAGCTGCGCGCCCGGCAGCGGCGAAATGGAAAACAAAACCGAGAACAATTTTGGAAAGAAAAATTTACAAAGAAAAATAGAAAAGAAAGTAAAGATAAACCCCAAAGAGCCCCCTCCCCTTTCGCCCGTTTTGGGGCATTGCTGGGCTCCCGGAAGGCGCCTAGGACAGCATCCTTTCAGGCGGTCCGCACCGCCTGCTGCGGCGCAGCATCCGCGCCTGCCTCGGTGTGCGGGGCGGTCTGCTAGGAGCCCCCCGCGGACTGCGCCTGCGGGACACAAGTGAGACAGCACTACTGGGGGACGTCTGGGGTCCGAGGGAGCAGTTTATTTACAACAGGGCGCACGGACACCCGCCCCCATGGACTGGGGGTCTAGAAAGGCGAGGAAGTCCTTTGCAAATTACACAATTATACAAAACGGTATAAAATCCTTCCGCTTCACGCCAGCACCGGAGCAGGCAGGACTCCCCTTCCTGCTCTCGCCACAGTTCCTGGGGAGCCGGGTGGGCGTGCGGGAGGTTAGGGGGTGACTGCTAGGCCTCTGTCGTCCTTCCCCGAGGAGGACGGAGACATGCGCAAGTCCTCGTCGTCCTCCGAGCACTTGGTGGTGGACAGGGACGAGCATTTGCAGCTGTGGCCGCCCCCCCCGCCCCGGTGGGAGCTGCTTTTGCCTTCTTTCTTGTGCTTGACCCGTCGGTTCTGGAACCAGATCTTCACCTGCTTCTCGGAGAGGTTCAGGTAGGTGGCGATCTCGATTCGTCGCAGCCGGGAGAGGTACATGTTGGAGGCGAACTCCCTCTCCAGCTCCAGGAGCTGCGTGCTGGTGAAGGCGGTGCGCATCCGCTTGCTGCTGGGCAGCTGGCTGGACGTGCTGTCTGAGGAGCGGAAAGCACAGTCAGGACCAGCGGACCCCACCGCACCCCACCCAGCCACGCTGAGCATCCCCCGGTCCCCGCTGAGTCCCCTCCCGCCCTCTCCGTGGGGCTGCGACCTTCCCCACCGGGACCGGCGACCCGGCAAGCGGCTGCCAGGCTGGAGCCCAAGATCACCGGGTGCCGGGATCGCCTTCCCTGTTCCCGCTGCCTGTGTAGGAGGCTCGGCGGGCAGCCGCTGGGCTTCCCCTGAGCATCCCCCGGGGCACCAGCAGAGAGAAGTGACGGGACTCCCCGTCCAGCCTGCTGGCGCTGGGCAGGGACTCCCAGTCCTATGTGCTGTTGGCAGGGTCCTACCTCCCCACATCCCCCGGGATCCCATCACCTTCTCGCAGAGGCCACCCTTAGCATGCAGCCGTGCCCCCCTTTCCCTCCCCACTCATGCCCCCCTTACCCACGGAGATGCAGTGGAACTGACGGGGGTCGGGCAGCGGGTAGGCACCCTGGTAGAGAGCTGGTGCATGCCCCACGCTGACAGCGGAGACGGAGTGCTGCTGGCGGGCCAGGGGCGAGTGGCAGTACTGGGAGCCGAAGGGGGGAAAGGAGGCCTTGATGAGGGGGATGGCGGGCGGCGGCGGGTGCAGCTGGGAGGCGGTAACACAGAGCGGGCACACGCAGAGCAGCCCGGCCTTGCGAGCGTGGCAGGCTCCGGCCGGCAGCCCGGGCAGCGGGTGCGAGGGGTGCACGGCGTACGGGAAGAGCGGCGGTGGGGGGCTGCTCTCCCCCTTCTTCTCGCCCGCTTCCCGCAGCACCAGCGAGTCCACCAGGAAGGAGCGCGGCATGGCCCCGCGCAGAGACCGCGCAGCGCCCGCGCAGCGCCGCTGGCCAACCCGAGTGGTGCTGAACGGCGCCCGCCCGCCCGCCTTAAATAGCGCCCGCGCCATGTGATGGCGACGCCGGGGCGCTCAATAGGCTTCTGTGCCTCTTCTCTTGGCATTCACGCCGCACGCTCCCTCATTATTTCCCTTGTTAACTAAATGAACTGCATAATGTACTCTATTCTTGTCGACCCCACCCACGCCGTAGCAGGCGGCCTCTCCCCTCCTCTCCCTTTGGCGGGGTTATTTTCTCATTCTCTCGCGATTTAATATTCTTTTCTTTCTCTTTATCGCTCTCCTTCGCTTTCAGCCCAGCTTTCAGCCCGCTCCCCCTTGTTTATTTTGCCGCCTGCAGCCGCGGACTCTGCCGGCCCCGGCTTCCCCTGCCAATCCAAAAGCGCCGTTCCCACCTGTGGCACCATGTCGGCCCCCCGGTCCCGCCGCTCTCTGTCTCCTCTTCGTCCCCATTACCGCGCCCGCTGCCGGCCCAAGTCCCGCGTCTTTGTTCCCCGTCCGGTGTTGGCAGCGGGCGCTTGTCGCTACAGCTTCCGTCGAGCGAAGCCGCCGGGCACCGCGCCTTGCCACCGGTGCTCCACCGCAGGCACATCCTCCCGGTTCCGGCGTGGACGCCGGGGCTCGGACAACAGCCGCGGAGCGCCGTAAGCAGCGCGGGTGCGCCGGTGCGGGTATAGTGACCCGTGCCGGAGGTACCCACGGAGAGAGCCTAAGAGGAGGCAGAAGAGCCGCTCGGCACACTCCGCGTGGCTTTATGCCTGGTTCCTCTGCCCGGTTTTAGCGGTAGCACCGGCCATCGCACCACGGGAAGGGGTCCAGGCTGCAGCAGCGCCCGCCCGTCCCGCACCGCCGCTCCCCTGCCCCACCGCTCAGAGCACGGGGAGTCCCCGGGTCTGAGGGGACCGACAGGGACACGGTTTGCTCCTGCCGAAAGATGAGATTTAGCTTAAACAAACCGGCGGTACCCGCGTTTCTTAGCACAGGGATCCGCAAAACTTCCAGCGGCGTCCAGAGGGAATTTCTTGCGCCTCTATCCGAATTAATGTGCACCGGTGCTTCCCCGAGCAGCTGCACGCCGTCCGCGCAGGAGCTGTCGGCGTTGGGCTCCCCGGAGCTTGTCGATTTTGTAAATGAATGAGAAATGCTAACAAATAAGGAAAAATATATAATTATTTTGTATATATTTTCTTCCCCGATCTTCCCGTTTAATAGACGAGGAAAAAAGACAAACGCATCCGCAGACCCCCGTCAAAATGTGGGGAGATTTCCCCCTACAGCAACGTGCCCGCCTCAGAAATAAATGGACTTCTTTAAAAGGGAAGGGGGGAAAAAAAAACAGGGGAAAGGAAGGAAAAGCCTTGAAAGCATCGCACTCCCGTATCTCTGGTTTGTGCGCGGCTGTTCTTGCCTGCAGTCTTATTTCCCACTGAAATCTATGGGAGTTTTCCAAAGATACTGTTGATGCCCGAGCCTAGAAATGTGCATATGTACACAAATAAATAAACGCCGGAAAATACAGAGCGAACAAAACGAATGTTGGTAAAAACCCACTCCTGCAGCGATTTAGAGGGGATTCCCCAGTGCCCTTCCCCTGAAAGTGTTAACGGGGTTTGGATTCCTATTTGTTTTGTTTTGTTTTTAAGGAGCTGGTGATTTAAATCATTTTCCTCCGGAGCAGCGCCCGAGCAGCGGAACCTCTCCCCGCTGAGAAGTGGCCGGTCACGGAGGGGCTTCCTCCAGCCTGAGCCCGAGGGATCCCCACTGCCCAGGGGCTGAACCCCAGGGCTCCGAGCCACAGGGAAGCAAAGGGTTAATAGCTCCTGAATGCACACCAAGCCCAGAGCTACTGGGAAAGAATATCCAAAAAAATAACCAGTTTTTTTTTTTTTTTCCAGCCGCTGGACCTTATTGAATGTCATTGAAGAAAGTTTTGAATGCCAGATAAAGAGAGGCGAATTAAAGTGTGTGACAGCAGAGGATAAGCAAACACAAAGAGAACTCTGTCACACTTTGGGCAAAATCCGTGGGCTTTTTACCAAGCCTCTTCGCTATGATTGAATTAAGTAATAGGAAAACATTTTCTTTCAGTTTAGAGCTATTAGACAAAAACTTCAAAGCGAATAACACTTTTTAATGTGCAGCCCAACAATGGAATCTGTTTTGTGCTGAAATGTTTAAATGGTTTGTTGTGCAACTGGGGGCTGAAGTAACCCAGACTGCAGCAAAATAGCATCCTTCAGGCCGTTTTATGAGCGCTTGAATCGAGCACAGACCTTTAATCCCAGCGCTTTAAACCTACCACCCCCCCGTCTTTTTTTTTTTCTCTTTCTACCCCCCCCCTTTTTTTTTTTTTTTTTAAATAGGCGAAATTCACCTCCTGTGATCGCTATCTCGAAGCGATTGCCGCTAACGAAAGCGGCACCGGAGCGGGCGAAAGACAGCCACCGCTGATGTACGCGCTGCGGGCGGCTTTTGGGGAAGCGGAGACTGCAGGGGGGCCCCCCGAGATCTGTCTCTGCACTGCAGGGGATAAGGGTGGCCTCACCCCGGCTTCTCCGCCCTTGCCCCTCGGAGTGTCTCCGGTGCCACCAAAAAGTGCCAATCCTTGAGCTCAGTGGTAAATGGTGCCCCCGCGCCCTGCACTCGCTGTCAGACCCCCGGAGAAGGGGATGGGAAGGCATTAGGGTGCGTATCGGCTGGAAGGGGGTCAGTGAGAGAAAGATCAGGTGTCCCTGTGGAGCATGAACGGAACAGGGGGCAAAGCATCAGCACTGGCTGAGGTGTCTTTAGGGGGACTATGGTACCGCTGCCTGCGGGGGAAGAAGGTGCCACACTGCCAGTGCCTGGGGACACTTGCATGGGCGTTCGCTGGAAATAGGTCCCTCAACATCCTGAGGGACCAGCCACTGCCTATTGTGGCAAGACCCTCACTTTCCAGGGCACTTACCATTAATATCTGGGGGAGAAGACACACACCATCAGTCCCTAAAGAGAGGTGCATTAGTTTGGGGACAGCAGGAGGTGAGGATGAGATCCTGCTGGGATGAGATAGAAACACCATTTCCACAGAACTATGCCCTTGGTAGCTAAGAAGGGCTGATGATTTGTGAGTGACTATGTTATACCCCAGCCTAACCTGAAAAAAATATTTTCTAATGGCAAATAACAAAACGAATCAATCAATTCTGAGCCACAAGCCACACACAGTGTGTTAGGTTGTCCACAGAATGTGCCTTTTTACGCTGGATGCAGGAGCAAGCCTGTAAGGTACCTCTGCCCCCCCTTTAATTAACTTGACCACAGAATGAATCTGCATTTACTCAAGTAACCAGAAATAGGTTTTTTTTGTTTTTTTTTTTTTTTTTAATCACTGTTTTATCAGCAAAATTGATTTTCGTGGCTGCTGCACTTTCCTCATTGGTCTCTTGCTTCCTTGAACAGGACCAACAGCATGAACAGATATAAAAAACCATCTTATTTTTGGCTCCTGACTCAAACTGTATTCTGTACAGAATGAATGTTTCCTCGTGGGCTTATCTTGCACACTGATACAACAGTGCCTGCATCACCAGCTGTTTCTGCAGTGTTTATTTCTAGCATCTCAGAGGAGAGGTAGAGCAAGCTTTGTTCTGCTGATGGATCACCAGAGTGAAGTGATGAGGGCTGGTACCTATCTGGAACCAATAGAAGATAATGGTTCTGGAGTGCTCATGTCACTCCATGCTTATGTGAAGCTCAGTGTCTGAAAACTGCAGTGTGTATTTTGTGCTCTGACTTAGGTCAAGTGCTGGAAGTGTTTGGCAGCCTCAAAGCCAAGATTCAGGGAAGGAAAACAGTGAGATGGTGAGAAGAACACAGGTACTGAGTATCGGCAAGAAAGCCCCCCACCTTTTATCACATGCTTAGTGATCTCCTTCACATTGCCTGTGAATACCATCAGAGAAACAGAAATTAAAACCCACTCTGAACACAGGCCCCATAGCATCAGACCAGAAACCCAACTACAGCTATAACTTCTCTGAAGCAGTGGCTGTAGTGGGAATATGAGGAATATGAGGAAGTCCATGGGAAAAGGACAAGTGTAGAGTGATCCTTTCATGGTTTACTCCTGGCCTCTAGTGACCCACAATGCAAAGGCTCCCAAAAACATAGATTATGTGTTTGTGTTTAATACCAGCTGTTCCAAAATAAAGGCTTGCTTCATTACAAAGTTGCCGTGTGTTTTCCTTCAGCTCCTGTTTTATCTATCAATCCCTTCCAAATTTATCATTATAAAAATTTGACAACCTACCAGCAATGGCCTTCACTATGCAGCCCTGCTACATTTTCATCATGGTTTATCCAGTTTCATTTAATTTCCATCACAAGATATCAAGGCAATAATTAATCTATGCCAGTAAAACCTGTGCCACAAGAGGACTGAATTAAAGCTGCTTGCTTGAAGACCTATGTTTTTTCTTTGGTCACATTCAACAGCAGATATCTAGGGTAGAGACTTGCTGTTTAGCTTTTCTTCAGAAGTCCTTGAGAGTAATGAAGATAAGAAATTGCAAAAAAAGCTGGATATGAGCTCTGCAAATGCAGTTAAATTAATAAATTATTAGAGATATTGTCCTTCAACCTCAGAATGCACTATATTTCCTAGTCATTTTTTGTTTTTGTCTTCTCCAGAGTTCTCACCAAGTCCTTTACAAACTGAAGATGTCTGAGGTTCATCTGCCCTTTGAGAACATCCATAGGGAAATTCTACCATCTTGTATGAAACAGACTGTATCATATCTGTTATTTAAATGAACTGTTTGAACAGTTTTCTGCAGCCTGATGAACTCCTTGCAGGTTTTAGTCACATTCATGCTCCAAGTGCTCAACAAACCATATTGATATGTAGCATGTGTGCTTGGGATTATGGATGCAGTGGTTTCAGTGTTGGCTTCTTGTCCCCTGCCAGGCAGATTTGGAGGGTTCTGCAGTGATTGTGGCTACTGCTGAGTGAGACATCTGGTTAGTGCATTCTGCGATGGAAGAGATACAAATAAAGGTCTTTTACAGTCACTGTTCAAGATCTTTTTTCAGCTGCTTCTATGTGAAGTTGTACAGGGAACTGATAGGAAAAAGGAAAATTTTCCTGTCATCTAAAAAAGAATGTCGAATTGCTGAAGATGTTGAAGTCAATAAAGGCACTCAAGACCAAATTGCTTTGAAGACTCATCAGGACTAAAACTTTCCAGAGTTCTCCAACACACAGA